ACCCAGAGGGCTGACCCAGGAAGATGGCTTGATATCCAGGTCATCCTTGTCTCTGTCTGCTTATGGACTCCCCTCTCAGATGAGGAAAGAGGGGAGAGGACTTTTATTTTGTTTGCTTGAAGAACTTCCCATTGGGTGTCTGCTGGGGTGGGGAGAAAGACAGACATAAAAGACCAGAAGTTGGGACTTGTGGGAACCCCTGCCATCGACATGGCTGCTAAAGAACGTGCTCTGCTCTTTAAGAAAGAGGAGAAAAGCAAATATCATATCTTTTTTGTCTTCAGCCCATGTTTGAGGCACGTTCAAATGTGTTGCTTCAGATCCTCCAGCCCTTGGGGAGTCTTCCTGTCTAAGAAACCTGCAGTCTCTCCCTGTGTTACAGTAAACTACACAAGTCTATAGTTATGGCTAGACACGGGTTCTCAGGAAAAAAAATTTCGTTGCCTCAAAATGTGGCCAGCAACTCTTGCTGGTGGCCACTCTCACACTTCCCCCCCCTAAGCTACTTAATTAGCTTTAGGAAAATCAAATAAATATGCACATATACATGCCCAAATCATTATAATTTATTTATTGCTAGCTAGTCTGTTGTGAAAAGTGATATTAACAAACATACAAGTATCATTTTTCACAGCAGATTTAATTAGCCCTGGCAAGCCCTTGGGACAAATTAACCCCTGGATGGAGGGTTGGAGAAGGCAGTGGGGGCCACGGGAGATGGGGTGGGAGGCAGTGAGGGGATGGAGCCTGAAGCCCCGCAGCCAGAGGACATGGTTCAGGGATGGAGCCTGAAGCCTTGTGGCCGGAGTCTGGGGCCTGCCACTGTGCAGCTGGAGCCCAAAGCGCCATGGCCAGAGCTTGCTGTCCCGCCACCTCAGGGCTGAAGCCCCAATCCTGAGCCCACCACCCCTGGGAAGGTGGGGAACTCACTGGCTTCCTGATCCTACAGCGTTGGTGACTCCAGAGTGGGGCAGGGCCCAACCCCTGCTGCTGGCCCCAGCAACCAACAGCAGGACGGTGCATCCAGGAGCAACAGGGAGGGGGAGGAGGCTCTACTTTGCCCTCCCCCCCCATCACAGCCCAGGAGGTTGTGGCTGCAAGAAAAGCCCTTGGTGGCCACATTTGAGAAATGCTGGGCTAGAACTAGGAGTAATGGGCTGAAATCAAGGGGAAATGTGGGATGCCTATTGAGAGCAACAATCTACGAGTGAAGTACAAGGGCTGTGTGTGTAATAGAATACATGGCTATGGAATGACCTTCCCAAGGAATCTGTAGAAACTCTATTGCTTGGGACTTCTGAAGTGGGGCTGGAGGAAACACTATAGTAGGGAATAAGTCTGTGTTGCTGGGACATTGACTGGATGAGCTAATAGGTTGTTTCTACAGTAACTCCTCACTGAGTTGTCCCGGTTAACGTTGTTTCGTTGCTGATCAATTAGAGAACATGCTCATTTAAAGTTGTGCAATGCTCCCTTATAACACTGTTTGGCAGCTGCCTGTTTTGTCCACTGTTTGCAGAAAGAGCAGCCTGTTGGAGCTAGCTGGTGGGGGCTTGGAACCAGGGTGGACCGGCAGCCCCCCTAAGTTCCCTGTGCGGCAGCTGCCCAGCAGGCTATCAATTGCCGGGCAGTTCAGCTGTCCCTCCCCCCAGTGCGGTGTGCTGCTACTGCTCTCTGCCTTGGAGCTGCTCCCAGAAGCCTCCTGCTTGCTGTGTCGGGGTGGGGAGGGGCAAAGAGAGGTGGTAATGTCAGCGTGTCCCCCTCTCCCTGCTCCTGCACCTCATCTCCACAGAGCCGGGGGGACACGACAGGGTTCAGGATGGAGGGAGCTTGCTGGCAGCAGCTGCTGTCTAAAATTGCTGATCTACTTAAAAAGGCAATGTACTTAGAGTGAGGTCAGTGTACTTAAAGGGGAGATGCATCACACACACACACACACGCATCACACACACACACACACGCATC